CCTCCAGATCATCGCCCAAGAGGGCCCCGAGAGGACCCCCCGAAGCCCACCCCAACGAGGGCCGCAGGGGGAGCCCAAGCGGGGAAGCTCGATGGGAGCCCTGGGAGCCCTCCCCCACCGAAACGCCCCCAAGACGCCCACAAGGCCCCCAGAAGAGCCACACGAGGCCCCCGAGAGGCCCCTGGGAGGCCAGATGTGCGGACGGAGCCAAGCCGCTTCGGCGACAGCGCCCCCTGCAAGCGAGGCACCCGTGGGCTCCCAGGGGGCCGGCGGGGCGGCGCGAGCCAGCGAGTCGGATGGAGCTCCAGCACGCCCACGGGAGAGGACGCTACGAGACGGCACCCCTCGATCGCCGAAGGAGGGGGGCAGCCCGAGCACAGCGGAGGCAGTCCACAAGAGATCTTCCACAAGAAACCCCAGCCTGAGACAACAGGACCTCCATTGATTGTCGGTGTGGAAACGTCACGCTGCCGATAGCAAGACAATCGAAACCCAAGAAACCCAGGGCACCCTGGAGGCAAGCAGGGTTTTTCTTGGCATGGGTCTCCACTGTATCTGGGTCACCCGCAGGTGGCCACACGTGAACCCTGCCCCTCCGCCCCCCAAGTCTTCTGAAGGGGGGGATGGGGGTTCACTCCGCTCGAGAGCTCACGAACGGAGTGAGCCCCCCCCCCCCAGGAATCGTGGGGGGCGAAGGGAGGTGTACTTGTAGCTCCCAAAACCCGGATAGCAGGGCAGCTCTGAACGCCTAATTATGCGCGCGGCGGCGCCTGTCCCCGCTACCACCGCAACGATGACCGCGATTGCCACCACCGCGCGCGCACACGCCGCCACCGCAGCACACCACAGCACCACCCACACCTACATTCACACACACACACTCACACGCGCGCGCACACGCACTCGCAAACATCCACAGACCCGCCCCCCCCACACTTACGACCAAGCACTCACGACGCTTCCCACAGGCGGTTCTCCCTCGTGACCTGGACTTCGGGAAACATTTGCTAGGACGCTTGAAGATGCCGGAGAGCTTGCAAGCTTGCGGAGGACGCTTGGCAGAACGCTTGAAAGGATTCCTAGAGAGCGTGCAAGCTCTGAGAAGGAAGCTTCGCAGGAGCTCCGAAGGAGCTGCGAAGGACCTGCGGATAAGCTTCCCAGGCGCGTAGTGGAAACGAGTAGGAAAACGTGTTCGGAACAAGCTGCAATTTCAAGCATGCTGCTGCGGCGCTGCCTGACCGAGAGCTGTGGAAAGGAAGCTGGCCTAGCCTTGCCTGCCGGCTTCTGATCTCAAACCCTCTTAGCTCTCCAAGGTGCTATCCAGGAACATGTGGCCAACCGTATGCTGGTGAGAATCATCCCCTGGACATGCAGTTCGGGGTCCAGGCGGGAGAGTAACATTCTTGCAAGAGATATCGATGTTAGGATGTCTGGATCGCGTTTCGCCTAAAACATCCTCAAAACCAGAACTACGATCGGAACTGTGGAGGGGATAGTGCAGTCCAGTCTCCCCGCCTGCTGAGCCACATTCAATCCCGCGGACAAGGAGATACAAGGGGAAAATGGGGGATGCTGTATTTGGGGGGACGGACAATGACATAAACATAAAAACTCGGAGGTCCGCGCGGATTTCTTGGATCGGCGCTGGACCCCCCTGGCGCGCTCCGCGCCGAAGGCGCCGCCAGGGGGCCCCTGCGCCGATCCGAGAAATCCGCGCGGACCTCTGAGTTACTGTTTATGTCATTGTTCGTCCCCCTATCACGACTCTTAGGTCGGGCATGACCCCCGACAGGCGGATTTTGGACGGAAAATAAAGCATAGTCCAAAAATACTCCGAGATGGTCAGAAATGGTAAACCTGCTTGATATGTGTGTGCTTTCTCTTTCCTCTGTATAAGCATATGTTTGTCTTATGTATATGCATATGTGTATAGCTCTCTCTATATATATATAGTATGTATGTATATATAATATATATATATATATATATATATATAAATCAAAACATCGCCAGACTATGTTTTGACAAGTTTTGAATACTCCTCCTGTAGAGGGACACGCCCGACCTATCACCACCCCAGGGGCTGGGGCCGCCGAGGCCGCACCCGCGCGCAGCACCCCGTGCGCGACGCGTGGCCCCGCTCGCGCCCTCGCGCGCCGCCCCCCTGCAGCGGGGGGCGGCCTCCACCCCGCGGCCCGGGCCTCGCAGGGCGCGACGCGCACGGCCACCCTGCGCACGGGCACCCTGCAGAGGGCCTGTCCCCCTACAGGGTGAGTGTGGGCGAAAAAGGTTTTGGCTGAAAAAACTCCAAAAATACTCCCCAAATGCTCAACAAATAATTTCAAAATAGGCCCCGGACTATTTTTCCCTACCTAGGCTCTGCCTAGAAGGGTCTTTCCCTGAGGCTTATCAAGGGCCGGGCAGTGGGGCACGCCCCGGGCGGTTCCCCCGGCATCCGCCCCGCGGTTCCCCCAGTCCCCTGGGAGCTGTAGCTTCAGCTTTAGCTTCAGCTTTAGCTTTAGCTTTAGCTTAGCTTTACTGTTACTACTAATGCTGCTTTCCTAGGGGCTCCAACTCCTAGGTAGGGGAACACTGGGATTCATTCTTTACTATTTTTGAATATCCCTCCTATAGAGGGACATGCCCGACTTAACCCTGGAGCATGCTGGCAGGTGTGGCAGGCATCGGCCCACACATCTGGTCAGGGGAACGAACAGTGACATACCCACAAAAACTCGGAGGGCCACGCGGGTTTCTCGGATCGGCGCTGGGGCCCCCTGGCGGCGCCTCCGGCGCCGCCCCTGGCGTGCGCTCCGCGCGCCAGGGAGGGGGTCCAGCGCCGATCCGAGAAATCCGCGCGGACCTCCGAGTTTTCATGTGTATGCCATTGTTCGTTCCTCTATTTCTGTTCGTTTTCGTATTGCTCTCGTTTCCTCTCGTTGCCGCTTGCAGCCCCTGCGCCACAAGAGGGGTCTCGCCCCTGCTGGCAGCGTGCATGCTGCCCCGCTCGGGGGTCCCCGCTGCTGCGCCTCACCTCCCGCTTTGCCCCTCTTCCCTGGTGGCTGCCGGCCATGGCGACCCCCCCCCAGACGGCTCCGCGTGGCGGCCCGTCCCACTCCTTGCCAGGTCCCAGGCCGTGATGCTGTGCACCGGCCTTGGGATGGCATCACGCTCTGCCTTTCGCCCTCGCCTTGCGCGCCGCGCGCTGGGCAGCTCCGCGCCGGTGCTCCCACAGCCGTAGCGCCGGACAGGCGGTTCGGCCCCTGTCCGCAGCTTTGTTTGCCCCGCTTGGGGACCGCCGCCGTTGCGGTTCGCCTCCCGCTTTTGCCCGATGGCTTCCACTCGGACGGCCAATGATGGGCCCGCCCCCCACTTCCCCTCGAGGGGGGCCCCAACCGTGCGCCACTTGCACCAGGCGCCGCCCATTCTCTAGCCGTGATGCCGTGCACCGGCTTCGGGGTGGCGCTTTCTTCTTCTCAAGTTGCCTCTGCCTTCCACTGCACCCCGCCCCACTGCACAGCGGCCCCGCCGCAGCTGCTGCAGCACCAGCGCCCTTTACCACTGCACCGTACCCCGCGGCAGGCTGGCCGACCGTACAGCGGCCCCGCCGCTGGCCCGCCCGCTGCTGCCGCCTCTGGACCCCTCGCAGCTGCTGCAACACCGGCGCCCTTTGCCCCTGGCCGCCGCCGGCTCCCACGCCGCTGCCATCCCCCCGCCTGGCGCCCCGGTTCTCTGGCCGCCTGCTGCTCTCGCTCCCCCACTTGCTGGGCCCTGCCCGCACTCTGGCTGCTGGCCCCTCCGATGGGTGCTCTGCGAAGCCGCCCCGCAGCAGCTGCCAGGTGCTGCCCTTCAGCCCGGCCGCCCCCCGCACGCCCGCCGCGGCCCTGTGGCGTGAGAGTGCCCCCGCGCCCGGCTCCCCTCTCTCCGTGGCCGCCCCCCCTCGCCTTCCGCCCCCCTCTTGCATGCGGCTCAGTGCGCGACGCGGTGCCCTGGTCTCGCCCCGACGTGCGTGCGGTTCGCCTCTGCCGCGCTGCGACTTAAAAAATGGTTCCCGTTTCCCCTCGTCGTGTCTTCCATCCGCCTCTGCTGCGAAACGGAAACATCAAAACGAGCGCGGCCCACGACATCGTCAACATCATGTAGGTCGACCCCTGCGACAGGAGAGTCCATAATCGAATCGATAAGTCGGATCGGCGATCGACATGAATCGGATCGGCAGAAATCGGCAGCCGAGTCGGGAGAAGTCGAAGCGGCGGAAATCGGCAGGCTGATGGGCCCCCATTGGGGAATCGGAATCCAAATCGGAATCCGAAGTCGAATCGAACCGGAATCGGAGGCCATCGAGATCGCATCGAATCGGAGGCCATCGGAAGGAGCCCTGTAAGGTGTGGTCCCCCGAAGAGCGTCCTTGCACCGAGCGGCCCGTGAGGCCGTGCGCGAGTGCTCACCTCGGCCCAGATGTGCCGACGCGGGCCAGGGGAGCATCGAGGGGGCAAGGTGCGGCAGGGTGTCGGAGCAGGGCGCGAGTCGAGACGGGCGGTTCAAGGTCGGCCCCTGGATCCCGCCTACTTGGGCGCCCGAGTTATCCGGGGTCACTCGGGTCCGGGGTAACGCGGGTTCGGAATCCCGAAAAGCGAACCCGAGTTAGCCCTGACCCGAGTTACCCCTGATGATTCGGGGATCCCACCTACCGTCGGGGCGTTGACGTAAGGAACCATAAATAAGGAACGAGGCCCTTTCCTCCATAAGTGGAACTTTGATGTTCCCATCGCACACCTCCGGAAAACCTAAGGCAAACTTGAAAACAATCAAGGAACACCGAGCCCCTCCGCAACGAAAAGGGTTCCTTCTTCAGCGCCCCGACTGTAGGGTTCATACGTACACATTTTCCGAGCTGCGTGCAGCTGGGGCGACGAAGGAAACCCCCGAAGGCCAAACACCGCTGTCTCAACTCGCCCTCCTCTGAAGGTGGGCGCCCACTTCTTGCTGATTCCGGCATCCTGCATCTGATGCCAGGCACGTCCCTGAAAGGCGGGATGATGCAGATGTTCAGCCTCGCCTCCAGGGGGGCGTCGCTGGCATCCAGCAGCTGAAGTTCTCCCAGGAAGCCGTTCGGCATTATCTTGTCGCCTGTGAGCACAACGTGACCAATGAAATCCAGCGCCTCCCGCACGCGGGGAGTCTCGACAGGAGACGGAGACGAGGCCACTGGGTAGAGTTACGGTCAATCGGTCGAAAACTCGCTGGCTTCGTCAAAAGCACCTCGTGATTAGCATACGACGTTGGCAAGACCTCCTCCTACTCCTCCTCCTCCTCCTCCTCCTCCTCCTCCTCCTCTTCCCATCCTGCCTCAAGCCCGCTCAAACCGACCGAAGTCGGCCCCAGGCCCGAGCCGAACACGACCGCCGAGCGAAGACGAAACACATCTGGCTCTGCCCAAGCGCGCGATCACCGCCCTCTGACTCAGGGCTCCGTGCGCGACCTTCGTCAGCCCCGATACCCTCGAAGTCCACGACCAATAGCTTGGGCTGCAGTGCAACGCCCCATCTCCCACGTACCTTGGTGTGGCAGGCTGGTGTCGTGGCGATTTGCGCGTTGGCTTCTGACACCGCACGGATCGTTCATCCCTGGAGCGATCCCCAGACATCCCGCTGCTCCAATATTTGTTCGATGCGTGGGCCCAGGGCCCGTTTTTCGCCCTGAGTCGTTTCTTGACGCTCCCGAGGCCCGGCGAGGGCCCCCAGAGGCCGGAGACACCCCAAGACCCGCCTGCTCCGATTTTTGTTGGGAGCGTCGGCTCTCTGGGTTCCTCCCTCGAGCGATCGGCGGCTGTCCAGCAGCGCTCTACAGTCCTCCTCCTCCATCCTCCTCTTCCTCCCCCTCCTCCTCCATCCTCCTCCTCCATCCTCCTCCTCCTCCTCCTCCTCCTCCTCCTCCTCCTCTTCCTCCTCTTCCTCCTCTTCCACAATACTCAATATGAATACTGCTCTCCCTCTTCCCCTGATGGCGTCCTGGGAGTAGTAGACCCCCCCCCCGCGTACTGTTTCTTTACATACAAGATTCCCGGGAATTGGGTTTTCGCCTGCGTTTTTTTCAAAATGCTGCTCTCGCTGAGGCGCCGGCCTCATTTCTGCTCCCGAATCGTTCCGAATCGTGCTCCCGCTGCAGCGTGGGCCTCATTTTCGGATCGGTGTTTTGCCTCCGTCGTTCACCATGGCGTTCTCGCCCCAGCGCGGGCCTCTTTCTCGCGCGCCCATCCGCCCGCCACCACCGCGCCGCACCACGCCCCGCCCCGCCGCACGCACACCCACCGCCACTTCCACCCACCAACGCACGCACGCACGCACGCGCACCACCACCGCGCACCGCCACCACCACCGCACTACCCCACCCACCACCACCACGCTACACCGCGTCACACCACATCACACGCGCGCACACACAGACACACACGCACGCACGCACGCACACACACATACACACACGCACACACACACACACACACGCACACACACACACACACACCACCACCGCCACCACCACCACCGCCATCACGCACGCACGCACCTGGCCCACCACCAAACCACCAAGACGCCACACCACGGCACACCACAGCACACGCGCACACACGCACACGCACACGCACACGCACACACACACACACACACACATACACACCACCACCACAACAACCACAACCACGCACACACGCACGCACGCACGCGCACCACCACCCACTACGCACACGCGCGCGGAGCCACAGGTCCGCTACGACACGCGTCCGCGGATAGAGAAAATCAGCACCATGGTAAGGGATGGGAGGGAGGGGTAGGATGTCAGATGTAGACGCGAGCGCACCTAACTTGTCCTCCCCCTCCTCCTCCTCCTACTCCTCCTCCTCCTCCTCCTCCCCTCCTCCTCCTCCTCCTCCTCCTCATTTTGGCTCAAGCGATCGCACGGCCTTGCTCGCGCTGCCCCTCGGCGCGCGATGGCGGGGCCTAGAGGGGCTTGCGCGCCGCCCTCCCTGGCTGCCTCGCTGGTTGAGGCCGCCGTCCGAGGCGCTGTGCTTGCTGGCGCTCCTCGGCGCACCGTGGCGGCCGTCGCACGGTCGGCGGTCTCAGCGTCGCTCTTCCAGAGCGCTGGGGTCCCCGTGCTGCCGGCCGGAGACGACGCTGAAGGAGCTCCTGAACGACCCGCCGCTGCTGCTGCTCGCCCTCGTGTCCGCACGGAGGCGCAAGTGGAGCGGAGGAAACGCCGCCGCGCGAGGCTCGCTGGGATGCGGGCTCTGGAGCGGGGCGAGGCCGCAGCTGAAGCTGAAGCTGCGGCCGCCATGGACGTCTCGGCGGACGAGGGCGGCGCGGCTGGAGCGGGCTCTTCGCCTGCGGAGGCTGGCGCGGGCCCTGGTGCTGTCCATGGCGGCGTGGCGCCTGCGATTGCGGCGGCGGCGGAGCCAACTGCGGCTGGCGGAGCCGATGCCATGGATGTCCCTCCCGAGAACGCGGCGCTTGTCGCGGAGCTCCTGGCGATGTCCTCCAACCCGACCCAGGACGCCAAGTTCTTCCCGCTTCTCAAGCTCGGCCAGCTACGCGACCTCCTCGAGGACCACAAGCAGCTGGGCGCCCAGAGGACCATCCTGGACGGGTCCAAGAAGGGATGAGAGACTGGCCTGGCAGGGCCCCGCTGTCACCACGTGTGCGCTCCTGGCGCGGATGGTGTGCAGCGGGTGATCCCTGTCGGGCCCTTCCCCTTCGGTCGGCAGCACGTGTGCGGTACGTCCGCGGTTGCTGTGCAGGCCGTTGGGGCGCCGTTCCAGGCTCCATATTTTCTCTGTCTGCTAGTGGCTCACCCGCAGACTTGAGGCTCGCTCGCTCGCTCCTCCTCCTCCTCCTCCTCCTCCTCCTCCTCCTCCTCCCCCTCCCCCTCCCCCTCCCCCTCCCCCTCCATCCTCCTCTGGCCGTGTGCTGGGGGGTATCAGCAGTAGCAGCGACGGCGGGAGAGCAGACACAGCACCGTTCCATTTCGGCCGCCTCTGGGCCACGGGCGGCGCTCCAGCCTGCACACCGGCGTTCTTTGGGTCGCCGCCACGTCCACACGACACGAACCAACGGCACGCCGCACTTGTCAAACTCTCTCCAGGACTGTTTTCGTTTTGTTTTCGTTGTGTTTTCGTTTCGTGTTCGTTTCGCTTCGTTTCCAACATTGATCGTTTTGTTTTCGTTTTGGTTTTCGTTTTGCTCTAAGCTCTACCTGTCTTCCTGTACCTCCCTGCCAAACCCAGTAAAACAAAGCACATCCGAGATCCAGCAGAACAGCGTTTAGGCCCAGCCCTGCATCTCTCCACAGACACGGGCCAGACCGCGGCGAAGTCGCGAGCGCGTCCGAAGCCGCATCCTCGGCTGGCGGAGCTGGCGTCGGCCGGGACCGATCGTCCTCCTTGCCGACGTCTCTGTCCCAGACCTCAAAAAACAGGGCGTCGCCCTCGGCGTACAGAGACAGCTCGTCGAGGTATCGCCAGGTCGGGTTCCTCGTCCGGGGGATGACGTGGGTCTCGATCTGGCCTTTGGCCTCTGCTCGGCCATACCGTCGCTTCCAGTGGGCGCCCTGGCTGCGGCCCTGAGCACGATGAGGCCCCTCGTCCTGCGCGCGGGCTTGGGCTACGGGCAGTGACGCGGGCCGCCGCCGAGCCCTGAGACCGGCCGGGGCCTCGCGGGTCCACATGTGGGAGGCGCTCTCCCTCCGCAGGAGCCCAGAATCGAATCGACAAGTCGGACCGGCGATCGAAACGAATCGGATCGGCGGAAATCGGCAGCCAAGTCGGGAGAAGTCGAATCGGCGGAAATCGACAGGCTAGTATGCCTCCATCAGAAAGCCCAGATCGGAATGCCAAGTCGAATCGAATCGGAATCGGAAGCCATCGAAGCCGAATCGAACCGAATCGGAGGAACCCAAACGAACCCTGCCTCTGTGCGAGGGAGGGGGGCGAGGGAGTAGGGAGTTGCCCTCAGAGGCCCCAAAGGCAAAACCAAGCAACTGAGCACACCAACCATACTCCAAATTTCGTAATAAAAGGGAAGGGGTCTGGACCCTCCAAGACAAGCCATTTCAGACCTCCCCCGTGGGAGAACCCTCCAAAACATCGTCCCCAGACCCCCCAGGCCCTCCAAGATAGCCTGGAAGAGACCCCCCCCCGAAATGAGACCCCCCTCCCTTTATTACGAAATCTGGAGTACCTGGCGATGTCGCATGCGAGCAGCCCGCGCCTCCATCCCTGGTGTCGGGCTCACGCGCGTGCTGGAAGGAGCGGACGCGAAACCAAAAGGCGCTGCTGGCAGCATGCGAATTCGGTCGAAGCACAAGCAATGGTGGCATTAAACAAGGTTAGGATCGGGATAAATCGCTCCAGAGCGTTCCGGAGCGATCTCAGAGCGTTCCGGAACGCTCTGGGGCGGCCGCGGCGCCCAATACATTCTCCAAACCCGCCGATTCTCAGAGATTTCGAGTTATCCCGATCCGATTTTGTCCCGATCTTCCCGTCGTTTGGTGGCAGATCCCGCAGCACCAGTCTCCTCAGATCTGCAATGAAGGTCCAGACTCTGGCGAAGACGCCTGGGGTCGCCTCTGCCGCTGGGTCCTGGATTACCATCGCGCCGACCAGCAAAACTGAAACCCCGCTCAATCGTGCAAGCGCCACGTCGGAAGCAGAACACGAGCGGCGCACACGGGCCAGTCTGGCGCGGTGTGGTGCACAGGAGGTGCCCCTTCTCGCTTTCAGCACCTTGCGTTCGACGGAGGGCCGTGGGCTAGGCAAGCCTTTGCACCCAAGCATCCGCCTCCCGTCACGGTAGGCAACGGCACTTGCTGCACCGAATCACACTCTCCAGGTCAGCTTCTTTCAAAGGGTCCAAGAGGTCCAGGGCGACCCGATCGTGCCAACTCTGGGCACGCTGGGGGGCAACCGAAAGCTCGATGCGCGTCGGCGGCATTCGACTTTCGGAAAACAGGAGAGCACACCACCAAACATTGAAACCAGCTTGCGGAGCACAGCAACATCGGTGTCACATTGCTCATGCTCCTGAGGGGCAAAGTGCACGAAGGAGGAGAGAGTGGAAAGATGATGAGGGAGGAGGGGGGCGGAGGGAAAGACAACGGGGCGGAAAAGGGGGGGAGGTGGCAGGAGGAAATGGGGGAGAAAGGGGGAGGACGAGGAGAGAGAAGGGGGGGGAAGCGGAGGCGAGAGAAACTGCGAGAACGCGGGGAATCACACGCGCGCAAACGAGCTCGTGGGTATGTGTGTGTGTCGCCACTGCGCCCTGGATAACGACATGAAGAAAATGCAAGCACATTAGCGTTTGGCCGAATGGGCGCCTCCAAGAGGCAGAAGGCAGTGGTGGTTCGCCGTAAGCGCGCTACACATATATATATATATATATATATGTATATATATATACATCTACATATACTAGAACCATCGCGCGCTTCGCGCGCGCTCAAGTTCTAGCTAGGGTCATGATCATCGTCATCACTGTCAGCCTCATCCCCGTCATCTTCATCGTCATGGTCACCTTCACCATCACCATCTCAACAATATTCATTATCACCATCATCATCAGCATCGTGATCACCATCGCCATCATCGTCATCGTACTTTTCAGCATCATCATCCGCATTATCAACATCTCGCAAGGTCGTCGTCGGCGTCGTCGTTGGCATAGTCACGGTCATCATCATCAGCGTCATTGCCGTCATCATCCCCTGTTCACTGCAGTCCCCTTACCCTCCTCCTGTTCCCGTTCTCCCTCTGCCCATCATCTTACATTCATGTATACGGATCCCTGTTCCTTCAACTCCTCCTCCTCCTCCTCTTCCTCCTCCTTCTCCTCCTCCCTGTCTTCCCCGCTCTTCGGTGTTTCCCTCCTTGTGCTCCTTCCCCTACTTCACCTCCTTCCTCCTCTCGAGCCCTCTTCATCCTGCGCTCCCCTTCCCTCCTCGTCCTCAGCATCCCTCCCCGAGCCAGAGAATCAGAGAACAAGAAAATATTACAAGAACAATGTCCCTCCTCCTCCTCTTCCCCCTCCTCTTCCCCCTCTTCGTCCTCCTGATCTCCTTCCTCCTTCTCCTCCTCCTCCTACTCCTACTCCTCCTCCTCTTCCTCCTCCTCCTCCTCTCCCACCTCCTCCTCTTCCTCCTCCTCTTCTTCTTATTGTTATTATGTTTCCTATTATTATTACTACTTTATTACAATTATTCTTATAATTATTAGTAGTATTATTCTTCTTACGTTTCTTATTAATAATATTAGTCTTATTATTCGTATTTGTCTTATTCTAATTATTAATATTATTAGAATTATTATTCTTAGTAGTGTTATTAGTATTCTTAGTATTATTATTGATATTCGTATTTGTATGATTCGCGTGTTTACTATTGTTGTGTCTCTTATTATTTGTTGTCTTCTTCGTATTATTATTCGTCTTCTGAGTCGTACTATTCTTCACATTATTATGTATATTAGTATTATTATTAGTAGTATTAGTATTATTGTTCTTCTTCTTTTTTATCATTATTATTATCCTCCTCCTCCTCCTGCTGCTGCTGCTGCTTCCTCCTCCTCCTCCTCCTCCGCCTTGTCCTCCTCCTCCTCTTCTCTCAACGCACCCAATACACGGGTGCCTACTGGAACGCGTGCCCGGAGCCTTTTTGGAAGCATTGTGGCAGTCTCTGGAGCCTCTCCGGGCCTTCGTTTAGAATCCCTTGGAGCCTTTGTTGGCCCGTCTGAGGGCCCATTTCGCCCGTTCCGGGTCCCTCTTGGCTCGTCGTGGGGAGCTCAGCCCGTCTTGGGGCCCTCCTAGGGCCCTCTCCGACCATGTAGGAATCCTCTGGAGGCCCCCTCGGGCTTCCTGGGGGCTCTCTTGGGCCGTCTTGTAGCTATTCTGTGCCGATCGACGCTCTATTCAGCCCATCTTGGAACCCTCGTTGGGGCCTCTGGGGCCGTCTGGGGCCCATTTTGGCAACCTCTTGGGCCGTCGCGACCGCTGGTAGAACTGAAAAGCGAAGCTCCCATAAATATGTTTTTTCCATTTGAAAAACTTGGTTTTTGACTCGGGACTCTCTCGGGCTGTTTTCGAGCTCTCTTGTGCTGCTCGACGCTCTCTTGAGGCTGTCTTGAAGCCCTCTTGGGGGCCTCGTGGACCGTGTGGCGTCGATTTGGGGAGCCTTTGGGGCCGACGTGGCCGCCGATGGAACATAAGAAACGAATATCATAGAAATGAACGTTTTTCCAATGGGACATGCTAATTTTTGCACCCGGCAGCCTTCTCAGCGGCCTCCTGGACCGTCTTCAGGGAGTCCTGGTAGGCCTTCTTTGGACCCTCTGGAAGCCCAAATCGGCCGTTCCGGGTCTCTCTTCGCCCGTCATGGGGACCTGCGCCCGTCTTGGGGCCCTCGGGGGGCCCTCTCAAACCATGTAGGGATCCTCCGGTGGCCCCCTCGGGGTTCCTGGGTACTCTCTTGGGCCGTATTGGAGCTCTCTTGTGCTGCTTGAAGCTCTCTTCAGGTCTGCCCTAAGACGGCCCAGATGAGCTCCACGACAGCTGCTCAAGCCGTGACGACGAAAGGTGTCACATATGACGGCCTGCCTCTTCCTCCTCTTACTCCTCCTCCTCCTCTTACTCCTCCTCCTCCTCCTCATCATCCTCCTCCTCCACCTCCTCCACCTCCTCCTCCTCCTCCTCCTCCTCCTCATCATCATCGTCAGCAGCAGCAGCATCAGCATCATCATCATCATCATCATCATCATCATCATCACCACCACCACCATCACCATCACCATCACCATCACCATCACCATCACCATCATCATCATCATCACCATCACCATCATCATCATCATCATCATCATCATCATCATCATCAGCATCATCATCAGCATCAGCATCAGTATCAGCATCAGCATCAGCATCAGCATCAGCATCAGCATCATCATCATCATCATCAGCATCAGCATCAGCATCATCATCATCATCAGCATCAGCATCAGCATCATCATCATCATCATCATCATCATCATCATCATCCTTGACTTCCCCATCACGACTCTCCCAAGCCTGGGGGCACGAAACGTCACACGCGACGGCATACAGTGCCCCTTGCAACGGTCGCCAACCAGAATGCTGGGCTGGCACGGTGACAGGACTTCGGCCTCTTTAGCAGCAATGCATGGCGGAAAACCACGGCGTCAGGGAGGGAGAGCGGGAGAGGGACAGAGGAAGGTAGAGAGACAGGAAGGGAAAGAGAAGGAGCATGGAATAGGACGGATAAGCGGGGAGAAAGTGAAGATATGACGGGTGAGTGACCGTGCATGCGGAAGATGCATGCGCGTGTGCATGCATGATATGACAAATCCGTGTATACATTTATTTATATGTATGCACATCTGCTCATATGTAGATATACCAGACTGCAGCGGCGCTTCGCGCCATGCACCTTGGTCCTTCGAGGTTCGCACGCGGGCGGCGTGCGTGTGCGTGCACACGCGCGCGCGAACATGTGCATACATGTCATACGCGCGCACGACGCCACTCGTATACAGACATATAGGCGTGTGGCTATACACATACGAGTATACAAATTTGTTAACAAATTTGTGGTATGTTGATATACGTACCCTTCTATATTTATATGGTTGTATGTATATGTATGTGTATAGGTGTGATTGTGTGTGGATAGTTCCATGATTGCGCATACATGTGTATCATGTCTACTTGGGCAGATCTACGTTACACATATGCATGTCTGTAGACATGTACGCGGTCGTGGCCACAAAAGTGGGGGCTGGACAGAAACGCAGTGAAGGACTCGCGAGAGCCAAAAGACTTGGGTAGGAGACGGTATGGAGAACACGGCAAAATGTGGAACGGCGACCTGGGCTTACCCACCAATGACCGTGTCTGTGGGACTATGGAAGGAGCCGTATGAGGGTCTTGGGGGGCCTCGGGACTATCTCGCAGCGGGGCTCGACGCTCTCGACGCTGAAGTTGTGTCGCGCCGCCGTTCGATCTTGGGAGGCCTCGCGTTCAGAGTGGTAACGTCACGTGGACCTTCTTGGAGCCTCCCGGAGCATTCTGAGGGCCTCTGTGGGACGCGGTGCAGTCCCGTTATGACTTGGGCCCATCTTGGGGCGCGTATTGGCTCTGTTGGGCTGTCTTGGGGTCACGTTCGGGCTCCTGGCCAATGTTTGGCATGTCTTGGGGCCTTTTCGGTTGTTTTCGAACTTCTGTGGGGTCCTTGCGGGATCTGTTGGGGCTCTTGGGAACCGCCTCTCTTGGGAGTGCTCTTGGAGGCATTGGGTCGTTTAGGAGCGATCTTTGGAGGTATGACGGCTCCTTTGGGGTCACCTTCGTCCGTCTTGGAGCTTTCTGGCGTCGATTCGGGAGCGCGCCTGAACGTCGGGGGCCCTCTGGGCCTGTCTTCGGGCTCCCGTGAGGTCCACCCAGGTCGTCTAGGGGGCTGCCTGGAAGGCACGGTTTTGGGGGGGGAGGGTGTTTTCCTGGGTTCTGGACTTTATAAACATATATGAGTAGGAATGTGTGCGTGCATATTCACAAGTATGTATATGAATGTGTCGCAGTCCTCTGGTGAACCCTCGGCGTCGGCTATCCTGCAGACGCAGTATGGATCGCAGTCCATCTCGCCGCCCGCGACGGCAAGGCCGCTAGCGCTGATGATAGCCACCTGCGCCGGGGGAGGGCCGTGCAGAGACAGCGCTCGCGCAACCTCCCAGGCCAAACGAAACGAATGCCCCTAGAATACAAACAAATTGCATGAACACAACCTCTCGGAGCTCCACCAGGATTCATTGAGTCGGCGTTGGACCCCGCTAGCGGCGCCTCCGACGCCGCCCTTGGCGCGGTCCGCGCGCCAGGGAGGGGGATCCAGCACCGATCCAAAAAATCCGCGCGGATGTCCGACACTGTATGCTGACACAACCTGTTGCTCCTCAGCCTGGGCGGGTGGCCCTCGGGGATCGGTTCGCCGATCGCTGCACGCGATGCGACGGCAGCCGGGCACACGCTGCTGCTGCACTGCGAGCTCGTGGATCCAGGGGGCGCGGCCTCCCGAAGCAGGAAGCCGGAGCCGCCCGACCCTGGTGACAACGCGCGCCGCTCTCCGCACGGAAGTGGGAGACGTCGCCAGCCCGCGCGCCACAGTCTCCAGGCTGGCACGTCCTGGACTTAGCGGCATGCGTGTTCGTGTTGGGTTCGCCGGTTCCAGGTCGATGTTCCCCCCGCCCCCCCCCCCCTGGGCTGGTGCCCCCCTGGCGTTCCCCCGCACGCAGGCTCGGGGGACCCGCGGGAGCACTGCCCAGCGATCGGAGGAAATAGGTAGGAGCATGAATGAAGGGGCCCTGGGACACACAGAGAAATACACACAAATAAAAGGATTCCTCATATGTTCTGGGTTTTCGTCCCTCCCCCCACTTCCCATATTTTCGCATCATTTTCCTGGGGGTCGACGATGAATTGTGACTGTGTGTTTTTTTCCTTCCTCAATGAAGTAGGAAGGCGCTGAAAATAGATTGGGTGTTCGCCCGCCCCCTAAGGAAGTCGGAAGAAGCGAAGCCACTCGATCATTCCACTAGGAAGGCGCTCAAGTAGATTGGAGCCTGGGAAACCCAAAATACCTACCTTCAAAGACCGATGGGTACTGCTCCGAGGGCCCTCGGGGAGACCACACTGGGGGCGGAGAAAGGGATGGAGCGGCCTCGATCCGCGCGCACAGGGGGGGGGGCCAGCTCTGGTCCAAGAGATCCCCCCGAGGACGCGGCACGGGGTGTGCCGCGGGCAGGAGGCCACGTGCGAACCCTGCCCCGCCCCGCCCCCCCTCAGAGATCGTCGGGAGGTGGGGCTGGAGGCCTCTCGGATGGGGTCCTGAGCAGATGGGGTCGGAGGATCGCGCCGCAGCGCCGATACATCGACGATGCTCCTCCTCCTCCTCCTCCTCCTCCTCCTCCTCCTCCTCCTCCTCCTCCTCCTCCTATCGCCGGTGCACCGGCGATGCACCGGCGATGCACCGTCGACATCGTTGATGCATCGGCGACGTCGACGTGAAGTAAAGCGGGCTCCACAGCGAGCCCCATCGGCGACGCACCAGCGACGCACCGGCGATCCTCAGCTCCGACCCCACCTGCTCGGACCCGAGCCAGGAGGCCTGGAGGGGCAGGGCTCGCACGTTGGGCAGTAAGCAAACTGCCGCGCGCCCAAACACCCAAACCTGTCAAGCTGAGGGCCAATGAACTGCAAGAACATACGCTCCACGACTTTAGACAGCTGAGAAGTTAGTTGGATGCCCCTGTAGTTGTCAGGGTTACAAACGGCGAGCTTCTTCTGGAGAGGGTGCACCCAATGCTCTCGCCATTGCAAAGGCCACGCGCCCACCGAGAAAAGCCCAACGCGCTGGGCTCCCCCTCCCCCCCGAGGGCGTAACGAAGCTCAGCGCAACTGCAGCGGAATGCCCAAGCCGGTGATGCCTTCAAGAAAAAAAAAACATCAGAGAAACACCCCAATCAGTGGATGGTTTAATCGATAATGAAATCGACCGGGACCCCGGGAACCTGGGACCCCGGAACCCACGGAAATCGGCCTGGAACCAATAACCAGGAACCCGGGGACCCGGAACCGGGAACCCGGGAACCCGGCCGGCCACCAACATCGGCGGGAAACTGTCGCCAAATCTTCCAATCTCCGCTAGGACCCCTTCAGTGCAAGCACTGATTGAGGAACTGTCTGCAACTACGGCAGGTTCGTGTCGTGCCGACCTCGGCGTTTTTCTCTGACACCGCGGGGATCGTTCAACCTTGAGCGATCGGCCGTGTCCGAAACGTCCAGATCGTTCCACACCGAACGATTCTGGGTCGCCCGCGGCGTTCAAACTGGAACGCCGCGGGCGGGGGTCGCCGCCGGTCGACACGACACGACCCTGCCGTACCAGGGCGCCGCCGGTGCACGGCGAGTCAGTGCCCGCCCGCCCCGCCGCGCTGGCCAACCAGCGTTAAGTCGGGCGTGTCCTCCTGCGGGGGGATTTTGGGCGAACAAAAAAGAATACTCAAAAAATACCCCCCAAATATTCAGAAATAGTTAGTCAAAAAATCGTCTCCAGACTATTTTCTGACTATCGTTGAACATTCCCCCTGCAGAGGGACACGCCCGACTTAAAACCAGCGTGCCAGAGAGCGCGGGGCCAGGCGCAGCCCCCCCCCCCCCCCGCGGTGGCGCGCGGGAAGCGCGGCGCTGGTCGCTGGAGGCGCCGCGGAGGGGCGGGGGGGGCGGAAGGGGGGAGGGCGGCGCCGTGCCTCTTGCTCTGCCAGGGTATGATCGCTGCTGTCCTTATTCATATGATTAACCTTCTGCTTATGACTTGGTAGCATGGCTACGTGTCTCCTTCTGCTAAATTGTATGTTTAAGTGTTCTTCAAATCATTAGTTGTAGTCGTATTATTATGATGGGTCTTATCATGATTCGTGGTAGTATGTTACGTTCACATTGTTAGTCTTACTATTCTGAGCATTCGTATCATGATTACTCCTCGCATTATTATAATCGTCATTTTTCTTCGTATTCTGCTTCTTCTTCGATCGATCGATCTTTCCAGAGAGAGAGAGAGAGAGCGAGAGAGAGAGAGAGAGAGAACGAGAGAACCCCCCCAAAACAACAATTTCGGCTGTGAGGAGGGCCGCCTGGACGTGCTTGCAGAGCTTCCTCCTCCTCTTCTGCTGCTCGGCGCGCCCGCGGGGGCCCACCACCACCTTGAAGAGCGTGAGTGCCACCGACAGCTCGCCCTGCAGCGGGGCTCCCTTCTTGTCCGTCAGCGACGGCCCGCGGGGCAGCGGGAGCATGGGCACCGGGGAGGACGAGGCACCGATACTGCTACCCTCCCGAAATCTCGCCGTTTCGGGCCTCCCGGGACGTCCTCGTCGCCACGGCTGGATTGGCATGAAGTGCTGGTCAGATCGCACCCTGGGAGAGTTCTGGGGAGTAGCGGTGTCGGTACCTCGGATTTGTCTCACCAGGAGCATGGGCGCGGGGGAGGGAGATCACAAGACGAGGTCAGGATGAGAACAGACACCAGAGGCGGCGATCCATCTCTTCGGCGAGGCGCTCTAGCGAATACGTGTAGTGCCCTTATCGTCGCCTCCGAAACATCGAGGAATATGTGAGATACGGCGGGTCCGGAGGACGTCTCGAGCGCCGCAGCCGTTCTGGACCTGTCCGGAACGCTTTGGGATGAGCTGTCCTCATCCTGCAGGGCCTCCCCGAGACAGAGGAGAAGGCGAACCCTAACAGGACCAGAGGAGAGGGTGGGGGCTGAGCGTGCCTTGGCACTTGTTCCTCAAAGGGTGAGAAGTCTCTGACCAGCCCTGTGTGATTCTTGTCGGAGGTTGGGGGGCGAGGTCCAAGTGGCATGCAGAGCCCCCCACCGGGCAATCGGCTCCGGCCTCTGAAGCCGTGCGTGCGGGCGAGGCGAAGCCGCATGGGCGGTCGAGAGGAACAACTCCGGTGTGGCTAGGGCGGGTCAGAGCTGTTGACCCGTCCTCCCCCCCCCTCCGGTGGTCCGGCGGTGGCCCATCCCCCATCTGTCCCGCCGTGTCAGGAGGAGGAGGCGGAGGAGGAGGAGGAGGAGGAGGTGTCCCGTCGCTGTCCCGTCGGTGTCCCGTCGCGGCGGGCGAGCGGTGGCCAAGTTGCCCCGCCGCGGTCCCGCCGGTGTTCCGCTGGTGTCCCGTCGCGGCGGGGGGGGCGGTGGCCAGGTTGCCCCGCCGTGGTCCCGTCGGTGCTCCGTTGGTGTTCCCTCGGTGTCCCGTCGGTGTCCCGTGATGAGATCGAGAGTGAGATCGATAGTGAGAATATTGGTGTCCCGTGGTTTTCCGTCGGCGTCCCGTCGGTGTCCCGCGGGTGTCCCGCGGTTGCCCCGTCGGTGTCCCGTCGGTATCCTGTGGTGTCTCCTGGTGAGATCGATGGTGAGATCGGTAGTGAGACCGACAGCGAGATAGTGGGAGTGGTGCTCCGCTGGTTTCGCGATTGGTGTCCCGACGGGTGTCCTGATGGTGTCCTGGTGGTGTTTCGATGGCTCATGGGGAGACGTTGGGGGAGGGCTGTAGAGAACCCGATGCGCCAAACTGTTTTCAATTTCAGCACCACTGGCCACGGGATCGACTGTGATACCCGTCGGTGTCCCGTCGGTGCCCCGTCGGTGTCCCGTCGAGGTCCCGTCAGGGTCCCGTCGGTGTCCCGTCGGTGTCCCGTCGGTGTCCCGTCGATTTCCTGTGGCGTCTCTTGGTGAGACCGTTTCTGAGATCAGTAGTGAGACCGAGAGTGAGATCGACAGTGAGAGTGGCCATTTCATCACCACTAGCCATCGTAGCCATCCCAGTTGTCGTCAATTGGTTCTTTCCCCCAAAAACCTCCTCATCACCCGAAGGGTAGCCGTATAGGTATTGGTTGGTCTGGTTGAGGCTTCCAGTCCCCTGAGGAGAGCGGCTGGCGGTCAGAAGGGGGGCTAGAGGGTGCGAGTCGAAGCCTCCCCCTTCTCCTCTGAAGGTCGTTATCTGGTGGACGGGGAAGTGCCAGCCGATTTAACCTTTTCGCTCCGGGCAGCCCCATGTATGCCCGCGCGCACACCTACTGCGCAGCGTGCGCCCCTTTCGGACCTGCGCAAACGGCAAGGTCAGGTTATCCAGAGGGGGGAAATGGAGGACCCGACGACCCGGGCTATCGCCAGACCCTTAGAAAAACACTCCCCTCCTCCTCCTCCTCCTCCTCCTCCTCCGCCTCCTCCTCCGCCTCCTCCTCCGCCTCCTCCACCTCCTCCTCCTCCTCCTCCTCCTCCTCCTCCTCCTCCTCCTCCATGCGCCTATTAATATGCTGCTGCTGCTGTTGCTCCTGCTGCTGCTGCTGCTGCTGCTGCTGCTGCTGCTGCTGCTACAGCTGCTACTGCTGCTACTGCTTCTGCAAGGAGCTTGAAGCTTGAAAGAGAATTAGTAGAACCAAACTACATGAGCAACATTTCTGGATGTCCGCGCGGATTTCTTGGGTCGGCGCTGATACCCCTGGGGGGAACCTCTTGCTCCACCGCAGGCACGATCCGCCTGGCCACCCCCCTATGCCGCGCGGATGGCGCCAGTCTGGTGCCCGAGGCGCCGCCAGGGAAGCCAGCGCTGATCAAACAAATCCGCGCAGAAGCGGCGCTGGAGGCCCCGCGGAGTCAGCGCCGATCTGCGCTGACGTGGTGCCAGAAGCGCCAGGAGTCCAGCGCAGATCCAAAAAAAATAGCGCGGACCTTCGACAGCCTATCAAATTTCTCCTCGCCGCGAGAGCGCCCCAAGAGGGCCCCAAGAGCGCCCAAAAGGCTTCAAACATACCCCCAAGCTGGCTCCAAAGCACTTTCCGAAGTCTCGGACTTCGCAACTGTTGGCGTCCCTGCGTTGCTGCGTGCGTGCCAACGGCCTCCTCCAGGCAGCTCCAAAAGGTTTCACTTCTGGATGGGCTAGTGGAGATACGAGAAGAGTCCAGATGTTCTGCTCTTCGACCCTCGCCTTATGTTGTTCTCATCGTACTTAGAGACCACATCCCAGAAATAATTTCGAGCACCCTGAAAAGTGTCGAAAGAGTGTCGAAACAGTGTCGGCCGAGTGTCTCCCAGGGCCCGACATGTGAAAACCCTCGGGTTTCGGTACTCGCTTGGGCGCTCGAAATCCTTCCTGGTGATCGAGGCTGGAGTAGGTTCGAACATCATCACCCTCGCCATGCCCTCCTCAGGGCGCCGCCGCGGGCTCCCCGGGACCCGGGCCGCCCCGCGGGGATAGCTCGCCCTGGAAGCCGTTGGGGTAGAAGTCCTCGTGCGACAGCCTGGCCATGCCGATGAGCTCATCGCCGCCAATGTCCTCATCGAAGACCTGCTCGGGGCCACCCACGCAGACCCTGCCTCATAAGCCTGAGCTTCGCGGGAGGCGCCAACCTATCTCCAGAGGCCGAAAATATGGAAGCACCTCCCGCCATGAGTTCCTCCTTGCCCGAGGGAGCCTGGTGCGGGGCCGGCGCCCGACCCCCGATTGGCGCGCCCCGTGGGCGCCCTGCCGTGCGCCCACGTGGGCCTGCTTTTGGAGGTGCCTCGGGTGCCCGCCCGGGGCCGCCCGTGGGCGCCCACGTGCTACAGCTGCACGGATCTTGGCCGGGCCAAGCCTGGGCCCAGGATCGGTGCGCATGCCCTCCTTGCCATGCCGAGAGGGCGTGTGCACCGATCCTGGGCTCAGGCTGGGCCTGGCCGAGGCTCATGCACAGTAGGAGCTCGACCACAAGAAGCCCTCCACAGGAAACCCGACCCTGAGACCCCAGGGCGTCCAACGATTTTCTGGTGTGGGAGCGTCGCGATCTTTTCACCGCAAAACCATCGAAACCCAAGAAACCCAGGGCACCCTGGAGGCAAGCAGGGTGCTTCTTGGCATGGGCCTCCACTGTATGATGCTCGCTCGATGTCCGCCACAGTCTCAATTTTTGCGGAGCGACGAATGATTCGGCTATACTCAAGAGTGACCCTAGGCAAGAGTGACCTTTAGCGCGCGGAGTCTCTACTTGGAAAGGTTTGAGAGAACGCGTTTCGCAGGCGCTTGCCTTGGGAACATTCGGCGGCGCGTTTCACACTGGGGGGTGGGCCCCCCCCCAACACTCGGGGCCGTCGATCAAAACCAGGGGGACCCCACCCCCTCCCAAGGCGGGGCGGGGTTCATCCCCCCCCCGCCCCCTCGGCGCCGGCGCCGGCGCTGGCGGCCGCCAGCAGCGCCCACGGGCACCGCCCACGGGCACCGCCCACGGGCAGCGCCCACGGCGGGGACGCAGCGACGATGACCAGAGGAGGCAGCCCAGAGGGGGGGTGGGGGGTTCAATCCCCCCCCTCCCAGGGGGGGGTTCAACCCCCCCCCTCCTCGGCGCCGGCGCTGGCGGCGGCCAGCAGCGCCGGCGCTGGCGCTGGCGACGGCGGGGACGCAGCGACGATGACCACCACTACCACCAAACCACCACCACTACCAACACCACCACCACCGGCTCAACCCACCACCACCAACACCACCACCAACAGCACCACACAACCACCACCACCACCACAGCCACCACCACCACAACCACCACCGCAACTCACCACCACCACCACCACCACCACCATCACAAAAACCCACCACCACTACCACCACCACCACAATCTACCACACCACCACCACCACCACCGCCACAACCACTACTAGCAGCACAACCCACCACCACGACCACACACCATCACACCACCACCACCACCACCACCGCCACCACCACCACCACAACAAACGTCCACAAACCACCGCCACTGAACCGCCACCACCACCGCCACGACCACCACCACCACAAGCAGCACAACCCACCACCACCACAAACCACCTCACCACCACCACCACCACCGCCACCACCACCACCACAAGCACCACGTCCACAAACCACAACCGCAACCACAACCCACCACCACCACCACAACAAACCACCACACCACCACCACCACAACCAACACCACCGCCACCACCACCACCACAACCCACCACCACCACCATTGTCGTCCTCGTCGACGTTTCCCGCCACCGCCGCCCGCCGCCGCAGGCGCCGGCGCCGGCCAAGAGATGGAAATCGTCGTCCCCGCGGCCGTCGCCAGGAGCGTGTTTCTTTATGTTCGGCGATGATGGGCGTCATGGGGGGGGTGGGGGGGCGGGGGGGGTATGACGTAACGCCCCCCCCGCCGTGTGGGTCCGGCACCGCAGCCGCGCCCCGCGCGCGCGACGCGACGAGCGACGAGCGACGACGACGACGACGACGACGACGACGACGACGATCACGGCGACGACGAGCGACGAACGACGAGCGACGACGACGACGACGACGACCTCGACGACGCGATCAGCACGTAGGTGTCGATATGCCCCACTGCGCCTGTGGACACCACAACGCTCGCGTGCACCACAGCGCGCGTGTATACCACAGCGCGTGCGTACACCGCAACTACCGTGTGCAACGCAGCGCCTGTGTACACCATAGTCCTTGCGTGCACTACAGCGCTGGCGTACACTTGCACTCCGCAGCTACCATGTGCAAAGAAGCGCCTGTGCACACCACAATGCTTGCGTGCACCGCAGCGCCTGTGCACGCCACAGCGCGCGTCTACACCACAGCATCCGCGTGCAACGCAGCGATGGTGTACACCACAATGCCTGCGTGCATAAGATAGGTCGAAAGACCATGTACGTGAGGATCTGCTGCGGACAGCTAGACGCCACGCCAGGAAATTGCTGATAATCGAATGCGACGTTCTTCCCTCCTCCCTCCTGTTCCTGTTCCTGTTCCTCCTCCTCCTCCACCTCCACCTCCTCATCACCTCCTCATCCTTCTCCTCTCTTCCTCCTTTTCCTCCTCCTCCCCCTCCTCCTCCTTACCCCCCGTCGTGCGGGTTGGCGCTACAGCGCACGTGCGCATCTCAGCGCGCACCGCAGAATGGTCTACTGAATCGGCCCAGTTGGTTCTCGGACGGCCAATTTAGCTGGAACGTCCTGGACGCAAAGGGGGGAGTTAGGGTGATGCGGGCGGACTCGGGAGGACACGTAGATTCCAGCGGCGCTATTGTTTTCAGTGAAATCCACAGGCGCTCCATTTTGTCATAAGGATTCGTTCTCACATTCTATATACAACACTGGTGCTGTGTTGCACACGGTTGCTGTGGTGCACACAGGCGCCGTGGTGTACACAAGCCCTGCAATGCACGCAGGCATTGTTGTGTATATTGGTGCTGTGTTGCACACGGCTGATGTGGTGAACGCAAGCGCTGCGGTGTGCACAGGAGCTGTTGTGGCCGCAGGCACGGTGGCACAAACTGACGCTGTGTTGCACGCGGTTGCTGTGGTGTACGTAGGCGGTGGTGTACACAGGCGCTGCGGTGCACGCAGGCACTGTGGTGTACACAAGAGTTGTGGTGAAAATCGCCACCTACATGCTGGCGCTGCCCGTCCTCCATCATTCCTGGGCATTCCCAATCGCCGCCGGCGCGAAATGTGACGTCATCGACCCCCTCCATCCCCCCCCAGATGATTGCCGTCATCGGCCCGGCGTAAAAAGCAGGCTTCAGCCGCGTCCGCGCGCACGACGACTATGAGCGACGAGCGACAAGCCACGAGCGACGACGACGACGAAGACGACGACTGCGGACCAGACTTACATACGGGTTCCTACGCGGACATCTACGCGGATCCCAATGCGCACAGCGGCAGTGCTCGGAGCGCACCGGGGGGCAGTGCCCGGAGCGCACTGGAGGGGGGAGCGTTACGTTATCGGGAGGTGGTGGGTGGGGCGGGGGCCATGACGCCCGTTATGCCCCAAGCAATAAAGAAACGGGCTCCAGCCGCCGCCGACCCAAGCGCAGCGCCGGCCCGAGGAGAGGGGAAGCAGAGAGGGGGGGGACGACGGGGGGGGGTTCGAACCGCATGTGGGCCGAATCCCAACCAACTGGGACCAACCCCAACCAGTGCGAAAAGCAAACTGGGCCCAATCCCAACCTGCTTGGGATAGCTACACAATAAAGTTTTACTTGCAGAGAAGCCCAAAAAAGACTGTGAGGACCAAGTGACACCTCTTATGTCAACGCAAAGGTTCTGGAAGCCAACATACGTGCCAGAGTTGGAATTGGTCTCAGTTTGGTCTGCGCACGAGCACTATGTTCAGATGAGCAAGAGGGCACCGAAGCGTAAGCAAAACCGCACCGAATTGCATCGATTCTACAATATGCAAAATGGATCCTCATAGTAGTAGTAGTAGTAGTAATAGTAGTAGTAGTAGTAGTAGTAGTAGTAGGAGTAATAGTAGTAGTAGTAGTAGTAGTAGTAGTCGTAGTAGTAGTAGTAGTGGTAGTAGTAGTAGTAGTAGTAGTGGTAGTAGTAGTCGTAGTAGTAATAGTAGTAGTAGTAATAGTAGTAGTAGTAGTAGTAGTAGAAGTAGTAGTAGTAGTGGTAGTAGAAGTAGTAGTAAAAATAGTCGTAGTCGTCGTCGTAGTCGTAATCGTAGTAGTAGTAGTAGTAGCACTAGTGGTAGTAGTCGTCGTAGTCGTAGTCGTAGTCGTAGTCGTAGTCGTAGTCGTAGTCGTTGTAATAGTAGTAGTAGGTAGTGATATTAGTAGTAGTAGTAGTAGTAGTAGTAGTAGTAGTAGTAGTAGTAGTAATAGTAGTAGTCGTAGTAGTAGTAGTCGTAGAACTAGTAGTAGTAGTAGTAGTAGTAGTAGTAGTAGTAGTCGTAGTAGTCGTAGTAGTCGTAGTAGTAGTAGTAGTACTAGTAGTAGTAGTAGAAGTAGTAGTAGTAGTAGTAGTAGTAGTAGTAGTAGTAGTAGTAGTAGTAGTAGTAGTGGTAGTGGTAGTGGTAGTGGTAGTAGCAGTAGTAGTAGTAGTAGTAGTAGTGATAGTAGTAGCAATAGTGGTAGTAGTAGTAGTAGTAGTAGTAATAGTAGTCGTAGTCGTAGTAGTAGCGGTGGTAGGAATAGTCGTAGTAGAAATATACGTAGTCGTAGTTGTAGTAGTAGTAGTAGTAGTAGCCGGAATAATGGAAATAATAATAGTAGAAGTAGTCGTGGTATTAGTAGTCGTCGCAGTAATCGTAGTGGTCGTAGTCGTAGTCGTAGTAGTACTCGTAGTAAAAGTAATAGTAGTAGCGTTAGTAGTAGTAGTAGTAGTAAAAGTAATAAAAGTAGTAGTAGTCGTAGTCGTGGTGGTGGTGGTAGTCGTAGAAATCGTGGTAACAACTGTAATTGTAGTCGTAGTCGTAGTCGTGGTCGTGGTCGTAGTCGCAGTAGTAGTGGTAGTATTGGTTGTAATGGTAGCAGTCATAGTAGTGGTAGTAGTAA